GGGGGAGGGACAGACACACAGACACACAGACACACACACACACAGACACACACACACACACACACACAGAATCCAAAGCAGGCTCTAGGCTCGGAGATATCAGCACAGAGCCTGATGCAGGGCCTGAACCCCAAAACCGTGAGATCATGACTTGAGCTGAAGTTGGACACTTAACCAACTGAGCCACCCAGGTGCCCACCGTATTTTCTTATTAGCCCTGATATCCACCGGAGGGGGGTGGGGGTGGGGAAGAAGTGGGAGCTCTTAGCATACTACCCATTCTATAGACAAGTAAACTGAGGGGCGCCTGGGTGGCTTAGTCGGTTAGGCGTCTGGCTTTCGCTTGGGTCATGATCTCACGGTTCGTGGGTTCGAGCCCCGCGTCGGGCTCTGTGCTGACAGCCAGCTCAGAGCCTGGAGCCTGTTTCGGATTCTGTGTCTCCCTCTCTTTCTGACCCTCCCCTGCTCACGCTGTCTCTCTCTCTCTCCTAGAAATAAATAAAAAACGTTAAAAAAAAAAAATAGACAAGTAAACTGAGCCTTGAAAGATACAAAAACTCACCCACAGTGGCACAGTAGGACTGAGGGAGCGAGATTTTGATTCAGGCAGATAGCTTTAGAGCTTCCTGAGCTGATATGCCCCCTAACTTCCCCAGAGTCTTTCTTTCCTCTAATAAGAACTTATCATGCATTTATTCTGAGCCTGGCATCTATGTCTACTTCCTCCCCTGACACATTCTCATTTCTGTGGCCCCCACACTGCCTTTAAAACACCCTTTCTTACCTGCCCTCCATCCTGGCGCTTCCTCTCCACTCTGCGGAGACAGCAGGTCCTCTCTCTCTCTTTTGGTTGTTAACACTAACCCATAAAGCCCTTCGTCTTCTGCCTGAGACACAGCCCCACTCGCTGTCTTAGTCACAATGCTGGGCCTGGCTGCCCAGCTTCCAGACAGCAGATATTTACCAGCCTGTGGCAGTTTCAGGCCACCCTTGGTATCATCTCTTCCCTCACTGGCCAATAAACAACCAGGTCTGGTCCAGATTAAAACGCAGATTGGCCCTTGCCCCGTGGGGCCGTGTCATGGCTTCCGTGTGCTGGATTTGCAAAGAAGCCCTAGCTCGGAGCCCAAGCTGCGTACTTCTTTCTTCCTGAACCCCAACCCTGCCCTCTCAATAATGCACTTTCAGCCTCAGTGCACTAGAAAGACCAAAGTCCTTTCTAGGGGTTATTTTATCTCCTGGACACCATAAGGAAGTAACTAGGTTAATTTTTTTTTTTAATCCCAGAGAGTGAGGTGCAGTGGAAAGAGACTATCTTTTCATTTACTCAACAAAGCATTCTCCCACCACAGGACACTCCACTATACACCCTCAAGCACTGGCCACTTTGTTTTGCAGGCATAGCCCCTGGAGCGACAGTCAGACATCACAAGTTAACCTGATAATTGTGATGGCATGTCCCTTCCAGAGATAAAGTCCAGGCAGCGAGCGGGGAACACAGGAGCTAACTTGAATCAAATCCGGGCTCCAGAGCTCTAGCCCTCTGAGGCTCCATGACTCTGTCCTTTTGAACCTCAATCTTCCCCGCCCTCATTTGCGAAATGGGGCAATATATTCTACCTCCAATGGGTTTGTGAGCCGTCAGAACTGTCATCCCTGGGGTGACTCATGGAACACATGGATTGCAGGATCCTGCCTGCCAATTAGCATGGAGCAGAGCCAAACTGGAATTCAAAGCAAAAGGACAAATCAGTAATTCTCTTGGAGGTCTAAGGTTTCTCCTCCTCCACATTTCTGGCACCTGGAGTCAGATGTTCTCTGTCTTGGGGGCTGTCTGAAGTATCAGAGGATGTTGAGCCACATCTCCAGCTTCCATCCATTAGATGCCAGCAGGACACTCCCCACCACCAACCCCACCAGCTGCGGACAACCAGAAATATCTCCAGGAATGGACAGGTATCCTCTGGGACACAAAAGCACACCCCAGGAGAGAACCTCTGCTGTGAATGATAGAATGTTCCACAAACTTGGGATAGTATCTCTGCAATTCCCTTTGATAAGACAAGGACATGAGCACCTCAGCATTTTCCTTTAGGAAAATTTTTCAACCCCTTCTGTTTCCCCACTTCTAGAAACTACACCATATATTTACATGTTGTGTCCATTCTACAGATCAGGGAACTGAAGATTAGAAAGCAACCTGTCGAAGTCCCAGAGCTAGAAATTACTGGAAGACAATATGTGAATCCAGCTCTAGCAGGAGTAACTACAATATAAATGTCCTAGCCACATGAAAGCCTAGTTCCCAAAGCCTCATCAGCTGCACTGGGAGAGGCACCAAAGCAGAGGAACTCAAAGGCTCCGGGTGACACCCTCCGTGTACACTAGATGGAAACCAGGGATATGGGGGACATGCCTCCCTCTGCACTGAGTATACAGGGCTTCTTAGGAATGCTCCAGAGAGCAAAGCTCCTTGGGCACCTGCTCCCCTCCCCTCCTATCTCTTCCCTGCCTCCCCTAAATAAACATTCCTGCTGTACCATCCCCTCCACTCGGTAGTAGAAACAACACACAGCATTCACTGTGGCCAATGTGTCTGCTAAGTAAGTGCCAGGCACTATTCGGAGTGCTTTATGTTTATGTAATCCAGAAGCAAAGCATATGGGGTAGTTACCATTGTTGTCCCCATTTTACAGATCAGGAAACTGAGACCCAGAAAAGCAATAACCTGTCACATTCTCCTTACTAGGAGGATGTTGAGAATATACAGACTTTATGACCAACAGACCTGGGTTCAAATGTTGACTCCTCTACCAGCTACCCATGTTAACATCTGGCAAGTTAGCTAACGTCCCTGAACCTCAGTCTCATCAGTAGTATGGGACTGGCAGGGATTGTTGTAAGAATAAAAGTTAACATTCTTATCCATTCAACAAGTGTTTACTAAGCATCTGGTGGTTGCCAAGCACTGGGGATGTATCTGCAGACAAAACAGCAAAAGGATCCTACCCTAGTGGCATGCACACTCTAATAGGGACGCGCTTGTGTGTGTCAGGTCAACTAATCCTCACAATAACCCATAGGTTATTGACTATTACACTATTGTACCCATTTCACAGATAGGAAGAAGGGGTCTCAGAAGCAGCTTTCCACCATCTCCCTTCAACCTTCTAATAGTGGGACCTGGATGAGACATGAATGCTCAGTTTCTGGAGCTCGACTTCTGGGATTCAAGTCCTGTCTAATTGCTGCCTACACGTTACTGAACCTGTCTGAGCCCAATCTCTTCGTGGGTAAAATGGAACCAGGAGGCCCTCTCTCAGGAGAGTGTCCCAAGGGAGCGACAAACGTCTAACATTTAGGAAGTGCTTCTTGGGTCCCCCGCATGCACAAGGCTCACAGAAACCTTAGGAGAAATGTCTTATTTTGGGTCCCTTTTCACGAAGGTAGACACGGGAGCCCAGAGAGGGTAACTGTCCGATGGTGCAGAGCGCTCCAACAGTGCGATTGCAAATCACAACGGCTGGCAGTGACAGACTCACGGGGTGGGTACCCCTGAGTGATGCCAGCAAGTGGGTGCGATTATTCTTTCCCTTCTGCAGCCCCGCGGCGGGCTGGTCAGGGCAGCGGATTGTGCGCACTCTCCAGAGGCTTTCCTCGCTCCACGGGGTGCTTCTCTCCCCATTTCCCGTGCCCTATCCATGCTCGCTCCTCGCTCCCTCGCCACAGCTGCCATCCCCGGCCAGGCCATCCCGCTGCCGCCCCGCGTTGGGGGCATCACCCCGCTGGGGTGCCTGGTTCTTCCCGTAGATCCCATCTCAGAACCAGGGAGGGGGCTCCGCCCAAGTCGCTGGGTCTCCGTGGACACCCGAGAAGGCAGCCCCCGAGCTGCCCCGAGACTGGAGAGCCCGCCTCACCTCCCTTCGGCTTTTGCGTCCCCTGTGCCTGGCGCTCCGGCCGCTGCCGCGTCTGCTCGGCCGAGGCTCACAGGCGACCCTGGCTAGGGCGGCGGGTAGCTAGGCTGCGCGCATCCTGGCACCAGAGCGGAACTTCCTGCCCAGGAGGGACGATCGCTTTCTTGGAACCCAGCCAGGTTCCTGCAACTGCTGGGTTAGTACACCTGTTGGCATCAGAGACCTCTTTTCACTGTCCCGGTTCTGCATTCATTGTTTCTTTCCATCTGGCAAACCTTACCGAGTGCCCACCAGCTGCCCGGCGCCAGGACTCAGAGGACCCGGAGGGCGCACAGGCTAGGGTTGCGATCTCCAACACGTTGGCCACATGTGGTTATTGCAGCATTCGAAATCGTGGCCCCAACAAACTGATGTTTTCAAGACAAAAGATTAAAAAAAAAAAAAAAAAAGAACTGCACACATATTACAAAAATTTTTTTTCAACGTTTATTTATTTTTAAGAGACAGAGACAGAGCAGGAGAGGGGCACACCCAAGAATCTGAAACAGGCTCCAGGCTCTGAGCTGTCAGCACAGAGCCCCAGGCCAGTATCCAACTCACAAACTGTGAGCTCATGACCTGAGTGGAAGTCAGAGGCTTAACCCACCGAGCCACCCCGGTGCCCCTACATCCACACTTTTTAAACTCATTGAGAAGTTTTAAATTGATTGTGTGTTAAAATGATAACATTTAAGAGATTGTTAAATAAAATAGATTATTAAAATTATTTTCTCCTGCTTCTCCTTTTCTAAAATACAGCTACTAGAAACTTTAAAATTATGTGTCTCCTATTACCCTTCTATTGGATAGCAGTGGTCTTGGGCAGGAACCCATAGAATGTTCCCCAAATATCTCTCCCAGTTCTCTGTCCTATGATTCATTCAGCCCTTCCTCGTTTCCTTCAGGAAACATTTGGGGGAAGAACTGGTATGAACCAGGCATGGTGCTAATAGTATTGGTTTGCAAATTCAAGAGTGTCTTGGATTTGAGTGTCAGGTACATGCAGAGGGCAAACAAAGACCCAAGAAAGGCGCAGACCACTCCAGATTGATAGGTGGCAGGTTTAATAAGCAAAGGAACTTACATAGAAGGCTTGCCTTGGGCAGCTGCAACACAAGTAGATCTCTGCACCCACCTTCTAGAACCCTAAAAGTTCATACAGAGGACTTCATGGGGTTCAGTCATGTATCAAGTCAGGATATTTTCAACAGCACCTTACTCTTTCAAGTTTTCACTCTCGAAACAAGTTCCTACTGCGGGAACGGTGGGCAGAATGTCGTATCAAGGACGGGGTGGTGGTAAGGAGCCTGCAGCTGCCGAGGGCCAGCCCCAGGGCGCACTTAGTGGTCATGTCCCCTCCATGACATCCTCCAACAGCTAGACGCTGGGGGTACAGAGTGGTAAGCAAAACAGCTACTGCCAGCGACCTCACAGCTGGCAGTCAGGTCGGGTGAGAGAGGTCTATTTAAAAAAGTGTGCAATGAGTAGAAAAGGCAACCTAAGGAATGGGGGAAATATTTGCAAACTATATATCTGATAAAGAGTTAACATCCAAAATACATAAAGAATTTCTACAACTCAACAACAACAAACAACAAAGATAACTAGATTTTAAAATGGGCAAAAGGGTGGCCTAGGTGGCTCAGTCAGTTAAGTGTCCACCCTCAGCTCAGGTCATGATTTTACAGCTTGTGAGTTCGAGCCTCATATCAGGCTCTGTGCTGACTGCTCAGAGCCTGGAGCCTGACTCAGATTGTGTCTCTGTCTCTCTGCCCCTCCCCCGCTTGCGCGCGCATGCGCTCTCTCTCTCTCTCTCTCTCTCAAATATAAACATTAAAATTACTTAAAAATAAATAATTTAAAAAATAAAATGGGCAAAGGACTGGAATGTCCTTCTCCAAAGAAGACCTTCAGGTAGACAGCTAACAAGTACATGAAAGATTGCTCAGCATCATTAATCATATGAGAAATGCATATCAAAGTCACAATGAGAGAACACCTTGTATCCATTAAGATTGCTACAATCAAAACCATAGAAAATAGAGAGTGTTGGTCAGGATGTAGAGAAATTGAAATCTTTGTGCACTGCTGCTCGGATGTGAATTGGTGTAGCCATTATGGCAAACAGTGTGGAAGCTCCTTAAATAATTCAAAACAGAACCACCATTGGATCCAGCAAATCCACTTCTGGGTATACATTCAAAAGAACTCAAAGCAGGATCTCAAAGAGATATGGCACACCCACGTTCCTTGTGCCATGATTCACAAGAGCCAAGAGGTTGAAGCGACCCAAACGTCCATCAATAGATAAATGAACACTAAGTGTGGTGTAGACATACAGTGGGGTCCTATGCAACCTTCAGAAAGAAGGAATTCTGACACAGTCTACAATAGCAAGAACCTCGAGGGACCTACATTAAATGAAATAAGCCAGTCACAAAAGGGCGCATAGTGGATCACTCCACTCATATGAAATATCTAAAGTAGTCACAAACATAGAAACAGAAAGCAGAAAGGGTAGGGGGTAGGGAGAGAAGGAATTAATGTTTCATTGGTACAGAGTTTCAATTCCACAAGATGAAAAAGTTCTAGAGATCTGTTGCACAATGTGGATATACTCAATACTACTGAACTGTACACTGAAAAATCACTAAATGGGGGGGCATCTGGGTGGTTCAGTTGCTTGGGCGACCGACTCTTGCTTTCGGCTCAGGTCATGATCTCACAGTACGTGAGTTTGAGCCCCATGTTGTGCTCAGCACCAGTGTGGAGCCTGCTTGGGACTTTCTTTCTCTCTCTGCTCTGCCTCCACTAACGTGCCCGCACATGCACGCTCTCTGTCTCTTTCAAAATAAATAAACAGGGGCACCTGGGTCGCTCTGTCGGTTAAGCGTCCAACTTAGGCTCAGGTCATGATCTCACGGTCCATGGGTTCGAGCCCCACATTGGGCCCTGTGCTAACAGCTCAGAGCCTGGAGTCTGCTTCAGATTCTATGTCTCCCCCTCTCTCTCTGTCCCTTCCCCACTTGTGCACGCTCTCTCTCTCTCAAAAATATATAAGTAAACTTAAAAAATAAACTTTAAAAAAGAGTTAAGATGATAAATTTAATGTTATTTTTTCATCACAACTTAAAAAACCATTCAGTGATATAAATGCAGTCGTAATTACTGCAACCAAGGGGGGTACAAAATGCCCTAAGAATTTAGAGTTAATTGGGGGCTTTACTGGGTGTGAGGCCAGGCTTCCATTAGGAAGTGATGCCTCAGCGAACTTGGGAATCCAGGCAGGAGAGGAGCAAGGGCAGCGGGGGCTGAGGTAGCAGCCGGCGCCAAGACCCCAGGGCAGCAGGTCACGTGCTGAGTCTGGCTGTATCGTACACAGCACAGGTGTCTCCAACCTCCCTGCTTCAGGAGCAGAATCAATGACAATAAGGACAGTAACAGCCAACATGTCCCAGAAATTAATTCACTTACTTATGTAATTAACGTAAATATCGAGTGCCGGGATTCTGAAGTAGGCTACTTCGGGTTAAATTCTAGCTCTAGTATATCCTTTCTAGCTTCATAATCTTGGGCAAGTTACTGAATCTCTGTGCCTCAGTTTCCCTTATCTGTAAAATGAAGACAGTAACGAGACCTATATAGAGGGCTGTTGCGAGGACAAATCAGGTAGCTTCTACTAGGAGTTATGTCATGTATACAGTGGCTGCCACAGCGCAAGGACTGTTTAGTACTTAGTAAAGGCAATTTAATTACATGGAGCAATTGTGCTAACGCCTCACATGCTGTGATAGACTGCCAGCTGGTCACAAATTCCTCCCGTCCCGAGAAGCATACCCTTTCACAATGTGACCTGCAGAACCAGGATCCATCTTTCCACATAAAAGGAGGGTGCATCCCACACCCAGCAAGGGTACATTTGATCCCTGAGGCTCCTTCTTCTGCCCTGTTTCTATCACCATCTCCGAAAGTGACAGGTCCATTTTCCCCAGTGGTTGCTCAGCCACCGCAGAACCTTACAGCAACTATCACTGGCCCTTCTATTTTTACTTCTCACATCTGTCAGCAGACGACAGTGAGGGCCTGGTGGTCTGATCTCTATGTACAGGCTCTCACCACCTCTGACGGATTCTATGCTGCCATCTCCCTGGTCCAGCCCATCATCTCTTGATGACTGCACTGGCCCCTTCGTGGTCTCCTGCTTGTGCCCTTGTGCGTCCGAGTCCATCCTCAAGGCAGCAGTCAGAGCCATCCTGCAGAGGCACGGATCCTCTAGTGGCTCCTGCCTGCCCCAGGGTAAAAGCCAAAATCCTATGGTGGCCCGTGAGGCCCTGTGCTCTGGCTTCATCCACCACAGATCCCCCAGCTGGCTCACTCAGCACCACCGCTCTGGCCTTTCTAGATCCAGACTCTAGCACTCCAGCGCCATCTGCCGTCCAGGGCACTTGCACCCGCTGCCCCATCGCCTGAACCAACATCCCCCTGGAAGTCACGCAGCCCGCTTCCTCATCCCTTTCACACTGACTCCCGTGGTGATCTTCCTCAGCTCTCCAGGTCCATCTGCACCTTGTCCCTAGCCTGGGTTTTCTCCCTACCCTTTCCTGCTTGTTTTTCCCCCAAAGCACTCGCCCCTGACACATTACGGGTGCGTGTGTGTCCTGTCTGCCTCCCTCCACTAGAATGGAAGCTTTCCGAGGACAGAGACTTGGGCCTGCTCTGTTGTCTGATTGTTGAGTCCCCAGTGCCCACGACGGAGCATGGCATGTAGCAGGTACTCGGTATTTACTAAAAGAGCACAGTCATGGGAATAGAGTAAGAAAGGAGAAGGAAGTAGAGGTGCCGGGGAGGCTCAGTCAGTCAAGTGTCCGACTCTTGGTTTCAGCTCAGGTCATGATCTCAGTTTGTGAGTTTAAGCCCCACGTCGGGCTCTGTGTTGACAGAGGGAGCCCTCTCTTTCCCTCTCTCTCCACTTCTCCCCCACTGCTGCACATGTCCGTGCACACACACACACACACACACCTCTCTTTCTCTCAAAATGAATAAACTTAAAAAAAAAGTAAACCAATCCACAAATTCAATGAGGACCCTGCAGCCCTGACTGCATCTTCCTATCATCAGCGTCTTCAACTTCATCAGCATGCCTCTTCCGTGTGTGTGCCTCACTTTACAGTTTGCAAAGCACATTCACACCCATGACACATTTGACGCCTACAAGACCCCATGAGAGAGGGATGTTAGTGGAGTGAAGAGTCATACTCTTCCCAGTTTTCATGGAGAAACAGAAAAAAACTGTTGAGACTTGCCCAGGACAAAATGACTCAGCAGTGAAAGAGCTATGATTCACCCATGACTTCTGACTCTGAGTCCACCTCAGTGGTTCGATGCTCAGTGGCTAGTTACCGCTAGGTGTGCAGTGGTCAGATGCATGAGCTATGGAGTTCAAACAAACAAGACTATGAAACTTACCTCTACTACTTCCTAGCTGTGTGACATTGGGAAAGTTGCTAGTCCTCTCCGGGACTCCCGTTTTCTCAATCATCAGGCAGGATTAAAAATAATATCCTCCTCATACGCTGTCCTGAGAGTTGAATGAGATAAGATTTGGTATGTCATGATTAGCGAGTTAAAAAAAATACTTTGAAAAAATATGAGCATGTTATTTCATGGGTATTCAAACACTTTTTTTGAGTGGTTTCCAGCTCTGCCCAAAGTTGCTCCAGTTAACCTGATGGGGAGGGACTGGAAAGTATGATGCCATCTATTTTAAAGGTGGTAAACTAAGGCTCTTGGTCTCAAAAGGGATTTGACTCAGTGCTTCTGGGAAGAGAAGGGCTGTGAAAAGCTACCAGAAGGCAGGCTCCCCAGAGGCAGAGCAGAGCTGTGGCCACCCCCTGGAGCACTCATTATATTCACGACACAATCTCATTCTGTCATCTCCGGAGAGGACAGTGTTTACACACACTGCAGAGATGTTTGCAATGATGTGGCCGCTGAACCACAGTAGCAAGGCACCACGCCTGCACACTTGCGCCCTCTTGTGGCCAGTTCCGCAGTCTGTCCAAAGGGTGCGGTGACCAGAAACGCAGCCCGGGCACTTGACATCACAGATGACCTCATTTAATATCTCCATGAGGTGGCTTTACAACATGGAGACTGCAGGAGAGAGACTGATACAAAGAAAAGCAAACCTTGCCCAAAGTCACCATGCGAGTAAGCATCAGAGCCAACAACATTCAAATCCAGACTTGTCTTGACTCCAGAGCTCACAGACTTTCCCCAACACTGCATTACAGATTGAAATAGACTCAGGCCTACCGACCTATTTGGGGATCAAACTCTATCATGACTCCATTATTCGATTCTATGTGGAATCGCAAATTATGAAAATATGTCCCTACCCCCTAGAAAAAAATCTCTGTGGTCGCTCCCTGGGGAGTAGGGTAGGAATGGAGCCTGTCATTCAAATGCATAGACATAATATATTTGATTCCCAAGATAAACCATTCAACCAATTTCTAAGTCATCTACCAATACATACACTAGAATCCCATTTATTTAACACTAGTATAATACATCTAGAAATTAGGATAAAGTGGTCAGAAGCATATAAACTTAAAAGTGGCTACTCCCAGGGAGGGAAACAGGATAGAGTATGAAGAGAGGTGTTACTTTTTATTCTTCTTGTTTCTGTGTCATTGGAAACAAGCATATTTTACATATATTTCTGTAGAGTTGAACAGTTTTATTTTCATAAATTTAAAAACCATTTAAAATTGTTTTAAAAAGTAATATATATTTAAAAGTTTATTTATTTATTATGTATTTATTTAGTGAGAGAGAGAGCGAGCACATGCTTGTGTGAGCAGGGGTGGATCAGAGAAGCAGAAAGAGAGAGGGAGAGAGAGAATGCCAAGCAGTCTCCACACTCCACTCAGAGCTCAATCCCAAGAACCGTGAGTTCACAACCTGAGACAAAATCAAGAGACCAATGCTTAACTGACTGGGCCACCCAGGCGCCCCACTTATTTATTTTGAGAGAGGGAGGGGGAGGGGCTGAGAGAGGGAGAGGGAGAATCACAAGCAAGCTCTGTGCTGTCAGTGCAGAGCCCACACAGGGCTCCATCCCAGGAACCATGAGTTCATAACCTGACCTGAAATCATGAGTCAGACTCCCAGAGCACGTTGGTGGCTCAGTCAGTTAAGCGACCAACTTTGGCTCCGGTCATAATCTCATGATTCGTGGGTTCAAGCCCGTTGTAGGGCTCTGTGCTGGCAGCTCAGAGCCTGGAGCCTGCTTCAAATTCTACATCTCCCACTCTTTCTTCCCCTCCCCCATTCACACTTTGTCTCTCTCTCAAAAAAAAAAAAAAAAAAAAAAGAGCCAGACTCCCAACCGACTGACTGAGCCACCTAGGTACTCCTAAAAAGTAATAGTATTTAACTGAAAAATCCCACAGGTGATTCTGAGGAACATTCTAGGTTAAGACTGAAAGATTATTGCCTTAAAAATTGTGACACTCATATGTAGTTGAAAAGGAAACTGATACCCTGTGTGCCAATAACACCAAAAGGTAACATTTATAAGCACCTACCATATGAAGAACTATGGTCTGGAATCCTTTCCGTCTATTTATTTTTTTAATGTTTTATTTATTGCTAGGAGAGAGAGAGAGACAGCATGAACAGGGGAGGGTCAGAGAGAGAGGGAGTCACAGACTGAAACAGGCTCCAGGCTCTGAGCTGGCAGTTAGCACAGAGCCGGACGCGGGGCTCGAACCCACAAACCGCGAGATCATGACCTAAGCGAAAGTCGGACTCTTAACCGACTAAGCCACCCAGGCGTCCCCCTTTCCGTCTATTAATGCATTTCATTCCCTCTATAACCCTGTGAGGTACGTACTTGTAGTAGCCAGCCTGCAAGATGGCTGTCAGTGACCCTTACCTCATGGTGTTCACACCCGTGTGTAGTCTTTTCCCACACTAAATAGTACTGACCTGTGTAACCAATAGGATATTTTCGAAATGATAGTATGTGACTTCCAAGACTAGGCCATAAAAGATACTGCCACTTCTGCCTTTCACTCTCTGTCTTGAACCAGTGGCTCTGGGAGAAAACAGCCGCCATGTTGTGAGGATGCTCCAGCTGCCCTGGGGAGAGGCCCACAGGATCATGAATGGCTTTTCGTTTCATGCCTCTTGATTCTTCTTTAATCTCCTTTTCCTTTAATTTGTCGCATTTTTTTTTCTCTAAAGATATTGGCATTGTCAAAATACTTGGCCAGTTGCCTCTCAACATCCCACAATTTGGATTTGCCTCTTTCTTCCTGAATAGATCCAGTTAACAGGTGAGGTTTTGTCAAGTGAAGAGGTCTGTCCCATCGGTGTGGTTGACTTGGATCTCTTCTTTATTCATGTGCTTACAAGTTTCAGTAATGCACAGATAGTGTTTGTTTCTTGCTGATGATCGCAAATCACTGTGGTAATTGACTTTTTTTTAAAATTGTGAAGATGTGATTGACCCAAATCTTGACCCTGAGAAAGGATCCTAAAGAAAAATTATAAATATTAACAAAAGGAATATAATTTACAGATATAACTGTAAGCAGAAAGAGTTAGGGGGTCCCCAGAAAAAGAAAGGTGAGATATAGCTTTTGTGGCACAGCAGAAGTCGTTTTAGACCCCTGCTACTCTCTGTGATCTACAGTTCACCAGCACTATTTGCCCTGGTAGCACTTCGGGCAGAATTTCTCCTAGGAGCTGTTGGAACAAGGAAACGCAAAAACCTCAGTAGATAAGGATTTTAAGGGAAGGGAATGAAAAACCCAATGGTCTCTACCAAGCCAGAATACAGCCTACCCATATCAGACACAGTAAATCAATGGTAAAATTCCCAGCACTGTTTTAGAAATAGATTGACCTGATGCACATTCTTTTTTTTTTTTTAATATTTTTATTTATTTCTAGGAGAGAGAGCGAGAGACAGCGTGAGCAGGGGGAGGGTCAGAGAGAGAGGGAGTCACAGACTGAAACAGGCTCCAGGCTCTGAGCTGGCAGTCAGCACAGAGCCCGACGCGGGGCTCGAACCCACGAACCGCGAGATCATGACCTAAGCGAAAGTCGGACGCTTAACCGACTAAGCCACCCAGGTGCCCCGACCTGATGCACATTCTTGAGTCGTTTTTGCAGGATTGAAACTGGCCCACAGGGTTAATGAGGTTAAAACCGTCACCAGCAAGTCCCCCACTCACCCTCCTTCTTCCTGAAAGAGACATTTTCTTTTTTTCTAAATATTTATTCATTTTTGAGAGACAGAGAGAGAGTGAGCAGGGGAGGGGCAGAGAGAGACACACACACACAGAATCAGAAGAGCTGTCAACACAGAGCCACATGCAGGACTCAAACCCATGAACTGAGCTGAAGTCCCAGGCTCAACCGACTGAGCCCCTCAGGGGCCCCAACCTTATCTTAGAGGCAAACAAGACGAGCTCCCGCCAGCCTAGACCAGTTTGAGCTCAACCAATGACTCACACCTGTGGGGATAGACCATGGAGTGTCCGACAGTGACCTCCATCTCATTCTAATGTTGAAACCTCTGCCCATGGGGCACCTCGGTGGCTCAGTCAGTTAAGTATCTGACTCTTGATTCTGGCTCAGGTCATGATTTCCGGGTTCCTGAGTTTGGGCCCCGCATTACGCTTTGTGCTGAACAACAGAGCCTGCTTGGGATAATCTCTCTAGCCCTCCCCTGGTTGCATGCTCTCTCTCTCTCTCTCTCAAAATAAACATTAAAAAAAATAAAATCTCCACCTCAGGAGGAACACATGCTTTATTAACACACATAGGATACGTGCATAGGCATGTTTTCTAAGTATGCCTGGGCAACCCCACGCCCAGCTTGACATGCAATGACAAGCCTCCCTCTTCTGATTTTTCACCCTAACCCCAAATAAAAGAAACCCACTCACCTCCGCCTGAGGAGTTACGCTTTGCAAATTGTTCCTCGTGATCTCCTAATGTGCTACAAATAAAGTTTCCTTTGTGACACAATTCCGCCCAGAGTGGTCTCTGCCTGTTAACTCACCACCAGGCAAACCTGTCACCAGCTCAACCCCAGGACCTGACCTTTACGCCCCCCTGGAGGTACTCACTCGCCTTTATCTCACATTTTTCCTTAAGCGCTTTTTTCCGACTTGCCTCTTCACTCAGGCAAATGAAACCCAAAACCACCTCAGGGGTGATGGCGACTGCCCTGACCAGACCCGCAGGCCAGACCATTTGACCCTGTGCAGATGGACTGTGGAGTGACCCCCGGAATGACCCAACACTACCTTTACCTCATTATAATACTAAACTCTCCACCGAAGGCGGAGCACGAGCCTCATTTACATACCTTCAACTTTTGTCTGGGCATGTTTCCTTAAGGCGCATGCGCGATGCCCTTCCACCCGCCTCTAGTCCAACGAACGGGAATCCCCGACCTAAATATTCATCCTAACCCTAAACAAAAGACACCCATTCACCCTCTCTCTGGGTATCAGGGCTTTGGAAGCCATTCCCGTGATCGTCCTTATTTTGCTGCAAATAAAGTTTTCCTGTGCGACGACCCACCTGGTGCAGCTTGTGTGACTCATGGAGGATCGAACTCACGTTGTTTTGGTTACATAACTGGAATGTGAGCAAGTCGAAACGGCCCAAACTTGGCGCTTTAAAATTCCCAAACTCCAGAAATTAAGAAAACTGTTCCATTTGCAATTGCACCTAAAAGAATAAAATGCCGAGGAATAAACTCAACCAAGGAAGTAAAATTTCCAAACTCACCATCTCAACAAGGCAAATATCGATCGCCAATCGATGTCAGCGCGACCGTCTGACATCATGTGCCTCCTGGTATGATGGACTATGAAACACACAAAACAGTAACATTTCTCCAATAACCTTTGGGAGCAAACTTAGGGTCACCAGTTTTTGCTTTTGTTTTCTCACATGACCAACACCAGGCAAGAAATTTTTTAGAGGCGCCTGGGTGGCTCAGTTGGTTAAGTGTCCGACTTCAGTTCAGGTCATGATCCCGCAGCTTGTGGGTTCAAACCCTACGTCGGGCTCTGTGCTGACAGCTCGGAGCCTGGAGCCTGCTTCGGATTCTGTGTCTCCCTCTCTCTCTGCCACTCCCCCACTCGCACTCTGTCTCTCAAAAATAAAGGTTAAAAAAAAGATATTAGCATTTAGTAATATGAACCTTTAATGAAAAACGTTTAGTGTATTTAACAAACATTTATATACCAATTATTCTGGACCAGGCACTGTTCTAAGTAGTTTATAGAAATAATTTCCTCATGTCATTCTGATGTGGAGAACAAAGGCAAAAGAGATATGAATAAAATTAAATTTCCATATAACCTGCAGCCCATTGACAAATACTGGAGACAGGCAGAATATGACATTCCTCCAGAAACTCCTGTCTTACAGTTAATGCTTTGTTAGAGGGGAAAACAAAGCTTGACAGTTAGCTGGCCTCCAGGATCCTGTAAATCTTCTTTAACGTATGGGAATCCTTTAGGAAACTTCCTTTGTCTTTACCTCCCCCAACTCCAAAGTATATGATCAGTCACTCCTCACAAGCTCAGTGTAGCTCTTTCTGCCCATGAGTCCTGTCCCTGTGCTTTAATAAAGCCACCTTTTTGCACCAAAAACATCTCGAGAATTCTTTCTTGGCCATTGCCTCCAGGACTCTCTCTACTTCAAGCCACATCAGTTCCAACCATCTTAAGCGCTGGGCTGGGACTAGGCTTGGGGGAAGAAGAGGAGGGTGGAGGAGGGAGATACTCGCAGGTGCTTAACCCTGCACTTCAAAACCCTGGGTGTCTCTGTAAATGCTGCCCTCAGGACCCCTGCCCGCCTTACAGCCCTGTGTTGGTGGCAGAAGATGTTGATGGGGTTTTGGGGTGGTGGGGGTCCGGAGCTGATGGCCAAGAAAGAATTCTTGAGATGTCTTTGGTGCAAAAAAAAAAAGGTGATTTTATTATGTAAAAAAAAAGGTGGCTTTATTAAACACGGGGACAGGACCCGGGGGCAGAAGAGCTGCCCTGGGGGTGTGAAGAGTGACTGGTTATATACTATGGAGTTGGGGGAGGTAGAGGCTGAATGGAGGCCTCCAGAGGGACTTTGATATGGTAAAGAGGACTCTTAAGATACTTGAGGCCTTGCTATTATCAAGCTAAGGTTGTTTTCTCTCTGGGAAGGCATTACCATTAGGACTGTAGGGGGTTCCTGGAGAAATGTTTTACTCTGTATTTGCCTCAAGTATTTGTCATTGGGCTGCAAGTTATAAAGAAATTTAATTTTACCTACCACTTCCTTCTTTGTTCCCCACATCACCGTGGAGGGGAGGGGACACTGAATCTATAGGTTCCTGCAGATTAGGCTGTTGATAACATTGCCTTTTTCTTGTAATTTACCAAGACATACGTAAACTGAGGGAGACTCATGTCCTGCATGACTGTGATCTCTACGAGTTAACCATTTGTTTCCTTTCCTTTCCTTTGTTCTCGGGCAGCCAGCAGTGCCTGAGGAATGTCACACAGATCCCACCCGGGGAGAGGGGTATTTGTGGTGTGTCAGCTTGCCTTATGCTCCCTCATCACAGCCATTAGAATCATTTGATGAGAAAACAGGAGCACAGAGAGGTTTAGCAACTTGCCTCAGACCACACAGCTAGTGAGTGGCAGAGCCAGCTGTGGAACCCAGGCTGTCTGGCTCCACAGCCCGTGCTCTCAGCCACCTCTCTCTGCAAATAGAACATTTTAACATGAAAAAGGATAACAACAGAATAAAACCGTCCTTCCTGAGAAGGAAGGCTTTGCAACCTGACGCGTTCATAGGCACAGATGAACCCAGGCATTTATAATAAAAATGTAATGAGGTATGTGCCGTGTGCTCCGCAGCTTGGAGGTGTGTGCAAAATAAGCCGAGGGGATCATTTTTTCCTCCCCTGTCACCCAAGTGGACCCCGTTGGCTCTTAACAGCTGTGTTTTAGGCTTCTGAGCAGCCCTATGGGAATACTCATGGCCTTTGTTGGGATTCAGCTCTTGGCGGGAGGGGATTAAAATGGAATCATTCGGGTCGGGGGATGATCTGTGCCTTGTGGGAAGGCAAGGGAGTGGTTTAAGGCTACAGTCCAAGTGGGGACTGGGAGGCAGGAAGGAAGCGTTTTCCAGATGGGCCCTTGGTCGATCTCTGAGCCCCCTGGGAAGGGACAAACCAGTGTGGACGTGCATGGACTGTAAACACTTAGGTCTTTAAAATAGCAGCTGAGCTCTCTCCAGCAGGGAGGGGTCCTTTGCTTAGAGCCCTTTCTTTGCTGACAGCCAAGAGTCTGGAAAACTCAAAAAGGGCTGAGCCTCTCCTGACCTCAGAGGTGTTTGACCACTTCTAAATTTTACAATTTGCTTTAAGATTAATTTAAAATTAATTTAAGATTAATTTTCATGACTCCAAATAAAGATGTATTGTATTTAAACATCCTGGAACAATTCATACCAGAAAGAGAGAGTTTCCCTCCTTCCCCCATTACGTTTCCCATTTTTACAGAAAATTTCATCAGGAGCTGACTCAGAGTTTGGAGCCCCTTTTATAATCTTAAAATGAACTTCACAAACCCAATTTATGCAATCAGCTGGAATTGTTGAGCACCTCCTGTGTGCCAGACAGTTGAGATGTGGGAAAATCTGTCAGTGACGGCAGACACACCAGGATCCCTGCCCTTGCGGGACTTTCATTTTAGTGATGGAGACACACAATAACACATAAAACACATATAAAAACACACATAAAACAGTCAAATATATATGTATATATTTGTTATGTTTGTGTTTTGAGAGAGAGAGACAGAGCACAAGCAGGGAGAGGCAGAGAGAGAGAGACACAGAATCTAAGGCAGGCTCCAGGCTCCAAGCTGTCAGCACAGAGCCTGACTCAGGGCTCGAACTCATGAACTGTGAGATCATGGCCTGAGCTGAAGTCACACCCTTAACCAACATGAACCACCCAGGCACCCCCAGTCAAATGTATATTTTGTTAGAATGTGATGACTGCCTGGGTACCTGGGTGGCTCAGTCCGTTGAACATCTAACTCTGGCTCAGGCCATGACCTCTCGGTTCGTGAGTTTGAGCCCCACGTCTGGCTCTGTGCTGACAGCTCAGAGCCTGGAGCCTGTTTCAGTCTACGGCTCCCTCTCTCTCTGCCCCTCCCCTGTTTATGCTCTGTCTCTCTGTCTCTTTCTCTCAAAAATAAATAAACATAAAAAAAAAAGAAGGAACACTGCCTTCTCTTAAAAAAAAATGTGATGACTGCCATGAAAAATAATCATACAGAGCAGTGATGAGGGAGCATGGGGCAAACTGAGGGCAAAGTACAGGCTATAAGCAACCCCCCTCCTCCAAGGTGAGATATGTGTAATATTCCTCTGACACTCCTGGCTGCCCAAGGACAGAGGAAAGGAAAGAAAGCACATGGTTGACTGATAGAGATCACAGTCATGCAGGACAGGAGTCTCCTTCACTTTATGGATCACTTAGTAAACTGCAAGAAAAAAAGCAATCTTATCTATAGCCTAATCTCCAAAAATGTATAGACTCCCATTTCCTGGGCCCCTAATCTCACCCTCATCAAGATGTAAAGGGGTTTGAGTGCTTGCCATGGTGACGTGGGAAACAAAGGCAAATGAAAACTTAAATTCCCTTACTGCCTTACCCCGCCATCTTTTATTTTACCCCACTTACCCCACCATCACCCCCAAAACCCCATCAGCAGAGTAAGACTGTTATTATAGACATTTTGTGGAATTGAGTGGTTTGAAGTGTTGGCATTGGGAGCATATGGCTAAGAAAGAATTCTTGAGACCTCCTTGGTGCAAAATGGTGGTCTTATTAAAGCACAGGGACAGGACCCACGGGCAGGAAAAGCTGCCCTGGGGTTGTGAGGAGTGACTGATTATATACTTGGGAGTTGGGTGAGGTAAAGGCAAGAGGAAGTTTCCAAAAAGACTTTTGCAGCACCTGGGTGGTTCAGTCGGTTAAGCAGCTGACTCTTATTTTGGCTCAGGTCGTGATCTCACGGTTCATGGGTGGAGCCCTGCATCGGGCTCTGCACTGACAGTATGGAGTCTGGGATCCTCCCTCTTCTCTCTCTGCCCCTCCCCTACTCTCTCTCTCTCTCTCTCTCTTTTGTTGCAGGATTCTCGCTCAGAGAGTCGTGTCACTGAGACTTTTCTTTCCAGGAAGCAACTTTATTCTGCCGGCACCGCTCAGTTGGGTTCGTACCCAAAAGAACTGAGCGGCCCACATCATATGGCAAAGGTTTTTTATGCATTTTCTATTTCTTTGTCTCCCATATATGGTAACACACATAAACATTCAGTCTGATTAAGTTGTTTCAGTTTATAAGAACATGGGGGTTGTAGGCAGCTGGACCCATATCTAGGTGACCTTGAAGTCTTCTCTCCTCTCTTCTTCATTTTTTTCGTTCTCCTTATGGAGGGGTTCCTACCACACTTTCTCAAATAAACTTTTAAAAAATTTAAAAAAAAATTTTTAATGTTTATTTTTGAGAGACAGAGAGACAGAGTGCGATCAGGGGATGAGCAGAGAGAGAGGGAGACACAGAATCTGAAGCAGGCTCCAGGCTCTGAACTGTCAGCACAGAGCCCGACGCAGGGCTTGACCCACAAGCTGAGTGATCATGACCTGAACTGAA